TATGATCTGGAAAGCATACCTAACATATCTACAAATTTGATTGTTATAGATGACTAACTACTGACCTATGTTTCTTGATTATCCTAAATAGTTCATAATAATAGCTTTCAAAACTAGAATTTTACCTTACATTTTTAAATGAACTGCCTATGTTCATTTAAACATATGTACAATATGTTGTAACAAAAATGACCTTAAATTGGTATCAATATACAAAAAAAAAATTTAAACAGAGTAGAAACATAAATACAGTGTGCTGTAGCAAAAATTACCTTAATTTTCTTTCAATGCCCAAAAGTCCTTTAAACAAGAGCAAAAACATATACAGTGTAAAAAAAATTGGCTTTGAAATTGTATCCATATACCGAAATCCATGCCAAAGCAAAATATCTGAGATTAATAATTGTTTTTATCCTGTATTCCTATATTCCCCTAAATTATAACAAACATCCATGACTCACAAAATAACCAAAAGCCTCCCACACCACTTATTGGGAATGTGGGCATAGTGTTCTCCAGACTGAGAACATTCTCTGACTGAATGTGGGTGAAGGCATCTTTAGGGTCCCAGAGAGAAAATTTTAGATAATGGCCAAGTCCTGGGAAGACCAGTTAAACCTTTATTAGTAGATATCATCTGTCAAGTTCAGGAGGTCTCTCCCTTGATCAAATCAAAACCATGTCACCTGGAACAAATCCACAGCCTCTTGTTTACTGTGGAAACAAAAGCAAAACTACTTCTCCATTTGACAAACACGTGTTTTGAAGTTTTTAAAATTAAGGCATCCTTAAAATATCTAGGCTGGTTTATTTCTTCAGTCCCTCTGTCAATCCCATGTCTCTTAGTAGCTGTTCTTTGCTTTTCAGCAATCAAAAAATTCAAAGTCAACACAATAGCATACAGGATCCAGACTGCCTGTGTATTTTCCATCTCTGAGTGGCCTTTTTAAAAATATTACTTTTACTGTCTCTTTAAAGACTATTTTTCTTTATCTCTTTCTATGACTGTCCATATCTTTTCTTTCTTTCTTAAAACTTCGCACATTGTGAAACACACTGAAACCTGATTAATGGTTTTTTAACCCCTGTCTGAACCTCTTTTACTGCATATCTTTTAGCCTTTTATGACAGCACAAGCAAACTTCAGACTGTTAAACTACACCTGTATTCTCCTAGTGTTCTCTTGGCTGGCCCCGCCCACTCTCAGGTTGCCTTATGAAAGCCAAGCCCAGAGCTCACAGCTCAGTGGGAGGTTCGTGACTAAGAACTGCATTAAACCTTTCTAGCTATGGAAGCTGTTACCTGCATAGCCACAATCAGTTTTTACTTAGCTTGCTATGTCTAGTTCTATTTAGTGCTGCTAGCTGAACAGCAGCATCTCTTACAGGAGCGGTGTCTCCTTCCAGCTTTCTCAGGCTCTAAATGGATATCCAAGCCCCACAATGGTACACCATTATGTTGTGAATTGCTTTTGCTCTTTTGTCTTTTGTGGGGCCCACCACCCAGCTCCCAAATAAATCACACACAGAGGCTTATTTTTAGTTATGAGTGCCCAGGCTTAGTTTGGCTTGTTGACAGCCAGCTTTTCTTAAATTAACCTGTCTACCGTTACCCTCAGGGCTTTTATCTTTCTTACTTCTGTATAGCTTACTTTTCTTCTGACCCTGTGGCTGTCTGGGTGTCTGGCCCTTGACTTCCTTCCCACCTTGTTCTCTTCTTGCTCCTCTTTCCTCATTTCTCCTTCTATTTATACCAGCCCCACCTATCCCTTGCTCCTGCCTTGCTATTGGCCATTCAGCTCTTTATTAGGACCACTGGATGTTTTAGATAGGCACAGTGACAGCTTCACAGAGTTAAAAAAAAAAATGCAGCGTAAGCAAAAGTCACACACCTTAAAATAATATTCGCCAACATTTTTGCACATCCCTTGCTGGATACATATCTCCTCCACACGCACAAGCCAGCCAATCCCCAGCCTAGATCATGCAGGCTTTGTGACCCCTTTCTTCCTTCCCCAGCTTCCACCCTACTGGAAAGTTACCCAGAATATGCACTCTCTGGCAGATGACTTCATGGGAACCGTGTCCAGCCTTCTCCTCCATCAGTAGACCGTAAAGTCTGTTGGGACAAAGACCACATCCCTCTTGTTCACATCAGTATACACAGTGCCTGCTACCAGTGTAGACGCTCCCTAATGCTTACACCATTTGAAGGTCTCAGTGAATAACCCACTCTATTTAGTATGTATTACGAATACCCCAAATCTGTTTCATTTTAAGAAAACTGCTGTGCTAGTTGTTGGATGCTGTCACAAATTTCTACTCAAACTTAACCTGCTTTAAAAAAAATCATTTGTTATTTCTATTTCTGAAGGAGAAAAATTCAGACAGAATGCATGCAGTTGGTTTGCCCCTGCTCCATGTCTGAGACCTTGAGTGTAAGACCCAAAGGTCAGGGCTGAATCTTCTGAAGACTCAGTTTCCACCTGTTTTGATTATCTCGGTTGGCCGAGGATCTACAGGGAGCTATCAGCCAGAAAGCCCTCAGGTGGCATCTGTATTACTTGTGTTTCCTCACAACATGGCGGCTGGTGTCTTCTGAAGACAGCATCTCATTTCTGTGACCCAGCCTTTAAGAGTCTCAGAGCATCTGCCTCCTCTCATTCCATTCATTAGAGACAAGTCCTCAAGCTTAGCACACATTCGTAGGAGGGGGAATCAGACTCCAGCATTCACAAAAGCATGGCAGAGAACTTGTAAACATCCTTTACATTCACCATGAGCACTGGGTAAACATGAGAGACAGGTATTATTAGATGGAGAGGCAGTGTTGTCAGGAAGGAGGCCTTCTACTCATAGTCTGGCTCTGCTGCTTGTCCCTGAGTGAGCTTGGGGAATTTGCACTCTGAGATTCAGGATTCCCTATTTACACAATAAGAAGGTAGCAGCTGTTGATCTCCGCTGGCATGTGCATGCCTGAACTCTTCTTGCCTCAGTGAGTTTAGGAAGAGCCAGGCCTAACTATCTGGAACCTGGCCTTCTGGAAACATCCCTAGCACTGACCATGCCTGGTTCCTGACACTGTAGGTGTCAAAAGGTTGACTGAAGCTGAGACAGATATGACACCAGGAGGAACTTTAAGGAACTCCAGGAGAAGGGTTAAGGGCCTGGGGACTCTCAGGCCTTTTCCACTTTTGCTGTGGGCACACATCTTCAATCTCAGTACTCCAGAGACAGAGGCAGGTGGATCTCTACGAGTTTCGGGCCTAACTGGCCTACTTATCAAGTTCCAGACCAGCCAGTGCTATGCAGTGAGATCTTGTCTATAAATAAATAGCTAACATGATTGAACAAGTCAGTAAGCAGCATTCCTCAAGGCTTCTGCCTTGAGTTCCTGCCCTGACTCCCCTCAGTAATGGCCTGTGACCTGGAAGTATAGACCAAAATTAATCCTTTCCTCCTTAGTTGCTTTTGGCCAGGGTCTTATCTCAGCAACAGTGATGACATTAGAATAAAGAGGATACCTTCAGCCACCTAAAGACACACACACACACACACACACACACACACACACACACGGCCCCACTTCCCAAAGGTTCTGCTACCTCCGAATAGCACCATCGGGGGACACATTGGTCTTTGGAAGACCTTCAATATCCAAACTATGTCTGTCAGGAACATTTCTCCCAGATGACTACTGGTAAGGGGAAAGAAAGTCTTAAACCGCGAACTCAGCTGTAGACGGTTGGCAAAGTTTTTGCTTTGGGAGCTACATGCAGATCTGTGCTATAGGAAAGGAGAGGGTGTGTTGGGTCTACAAAGCCCACGTGCCACACACAACCGTCAACTGTATTTATCTGGGCAGGTCGACACTACCCAAACACTGCCTCCCACTCTTATGATACTGTCTTGGTCCCATGATTGGCAAAACTCTTGTCTCTAGCCAGGTGCCAGGGATTGGTGAATCCAAGGCCAGCACTAGGGGCACACTCCCGGGATCCCATGCAAGTAACCTAATGAAACAGAACAACTCTCAACCCCTACAAATCCTCCCTTAAGGAGCACCGCCAGAAGAGCTGAGTTCATCCAGTGTGATCATCTCGAGTGACCGATGGGGAAACTGAAGCTTACAAAGGGAAGAGATTTACAAAACCTCCGAGTGGAAAATGGGCATGAACACCATCTGGAACTCGCGGCTTCCAGGTCAGCATTCTCGATTCTATGGCTGAGGGCTGCCCCTCCTCGATGTGTCTGTCCTTCGGAAAATCCCCGCCCGACCGCCACAATTCCTTCCGCACCAGGAATCCCCCGGAGTTTGAGCTCTGTGTGGCGGGTAGTAAACTTACTCCGCAGCTCTGCACCCACTTCTCAGCAACCCAAAAGAGAGGTGAGAAAGGAGAAAAAGTCCAGGGCATCCCTGCGATAACTTGTAGCTCGTGGATAGTGGGGTAGCGGCAACAGGAGGAGGACCCGGCGGGAACACGCTGGCCCTTTAAGGGGGGGACGGAGCGCATGCGCGGCGCGGGCCAGGGTGGGGCCTGGTGGGCGGCGGGAGGCGCAGGGGACCCGGCCGGGGG